TTTCTTTATGTTGAGGTGTAATCCATACTGAAGGCTGTTGTCTTTGATCTTCATCAGTAAGTGCTTCGTGTCCTCTTCACTCTCAGCAAGCAAGGTTGTGTCATCTGCATATCGCAGATTGTTAATGAGTCTTCCTCCAAACCTGATGCCATGATCTTCTTCATATAGTCCAGTTTATCAGATTATTTGCTCAGCATACAGACTGAATAAGTATGGTGAAAGGATACAACCCTCATGCACACCTTTCCTGACTAAACCATGCAGTATCCCCTTGTTCTGTTCCAACAACTGCCTCTTGGTCTAACTAACTACAGGTTCCTCATGAGCCCAGTTAAGTGTTCTGGAAATCTCATTCTTCACAGTGTTATTCATACTTTGTTATGATACACACAGTCGAATGCCTTTGAATAGTCAATAAAACACAGGTAAACATCTTTCCGGTATTCTCTGCTTTCAGCCAAGATCCATCTGACATCAACAATAATATCCCTCATTCCATGTCCTCTTCTGAATCCGGCTTGAATTTCTGGCAGTTTCCTGTTGATGTACTGCTGCAGCCGCTTTTGAATGATCTTCAGCAAAATTTTACCTGCATCTGATATTAATAATATTGTTCGATAATTTCCACGTTTGGTTGGATCACCTTTATTTGAAATAGGCATAAATATGGATGTCTTCTGGTCAGTTGACTGGGTAGCTGTCTTCCAAATTTCTTGGCATAGACGAGTAAGCACGTCTAGTGCTGCATCTGTTTGTTGAAACATCTCAACTGGTATTCCATCAAATCCTGAAGCCTTGTTTTTCTCTAGTGTCTTCAGTGCAGCTTGGACCTCTTCCTTCAGTACCGTCAGTTCTTGATCATATGCTACCTCCTGAAATGATTGAACGTCGACCAATTCTTTTTGGTACAATGATTCTGTGTATTCCTTCCATCTTCTTTTGATGCTTCCTGGGTAGTTCAATATTTTGCCCATAGAATCCTTCACCATTGCAACTTGAAGTTTGAATTTTTTCTTTAGTTCTTTCAGCTTGAGAAATGCCAAACATGTTCTTCCCTTTTGGTTTTCCAACTCCAGGTCTTTCACTTGTCATTATAATACTTTACTTTGTCTTCTCGAGTCACCCTTTGAAATCTTCTGTTCAGCTGTTTAACTTCATCATTTTTTCCTTTTGCTTTAGCTACTCGATGTTCAAGGGTCTGTCAGTTTGTTGTACTGTGGGGGCTTGCGTGTTGCTGTGATGCTGGAAGCTATGCCTTCAGTAGTCAAATACCAGCAGGGTCACACATGGTGGACAGGTTTCAGCTGAACTTCCAGACTAAGACAGACTAGGAAGAAGGACCTGGTGGTCTACTTTTGAAAAAAATTAGCCAGTGAAAATATTATGAGTAGCAGGGGGACATTGTCTGATATAGTGCTGGAAGATGACCCCCTCAGGTTGGAAGACACACAAAATACGACTAGGGAAGAGCTGCCTTCTCAAAGTAGAGTTGACCTTAAAGACGTGGATGGAGTCAAGCTTTCAGGACCTTCATTTGCTGATGTGGCACGACTCAAAATGAGAACAGCTGCAAATATCCATTAATAATTGGAACATGGAATATACAAAGTATGCATCTAGGAAAATTGGAAATTGTTGAAAATGAAATGAAACACTTAAAAATTGATATCCTAGGCATTAGTGAGCTGAAATGGACTGCTACTGGCCATTTTGAATCAGACAATCTTATGGTCTACTATGCTAGAAATGAAAAATTGAAGAAGAATGGAGTTGCATTCATTGTTGTTGTTCTAAGTTGTAAGAGGTTTTATATATTCTGGATATCAGACATGTGGTTACCAAATATTATTCCCATTCTGAAGGCTGTCTCTTCACTTTCTTGATAGTCTTTTGATGCACACAAGTTTTACATGTTGATGAAGTTCAATTTATTTTGTTGTTGTTGCTAATGATTTTAGTGTCGTATCTAAGAATCCATTGTCAAAAACAAGGTCTTGAAGCTTTACTGTTATGTTGTCTTCTAATAATTATAAAGTTTAATTCTTATATTTAAGTCATTGATCCATTTTAAGTTAATTTTTGTACAGGTAGTCCCCGACTTATGACATATTTGAGTTACGACGAATCACACTTAGGACCATTCTCCTTTTTTTTTGTATACATCTTATCATTAGTACCATGTACTACATACACTGTTGCAGCATGCAATTTGCTGATGTTACCATTCTCAGATGTAATGTTTCCAACTCCCAAAGACAAATAAAGATCAGATTTATAAAGATACTGATAATAAAAGGCAATAATAATGAAAATCAAAAAGAAAAAATAAGGTATTTGACTTACGTCAGAACCAGCTTATGATGGAGTAGTTGTAGGAACAGAACCCCATCATAGGTTGGACACTACCTATAACCTGTATGTAGTGTGATGTATGGGTCCAATTTCATTCTTCTGTACGTGGAGATCCAGTTATCCATTGATGTATGGGATTATTTCTGGACTCCCAATTCTATTTCATTGGTTTATATGTCCGTTCTTATACCAGCACCATAGTGTTTTGATTATTGCAGCTTTATACTATGTTTAGATATTGGGAAGTGTGAGTCCTCCTACTTAGTTCTTTTACAAGATTATTTTTGCTCTTTAGGAGCACTTCCAATTCCATGTTGCTTTTGTTGTTGTGTCAATTCCTACTCATAGTGATCCTATAGGGCAGAGTAGAACTTTCCCATAGGGTTTCCTAGGCTGTAATCTTTATGGTAGCAGATGGCATGTCTTTTCTCCTGCAGAGCCACTGGTGGGTTCGAATTGCTGACCTTTCATTTAGCAGTTGAACACTTAACTGTTGCGCCACCAGGGCTCCTTTTGCAGTACCATATCGATTTGAAAATTGG